CACTCACACGCCCCACCGTCACGCCCCACCTGCACGCCCCACTTGCCCGCCCCACCTACACGCCCCACCTTCCCGCCCCACTTACACGCCCCACTTACACGCCCCACCTACACGCCCCACTTACACGCTCCACCCTCACGCTCAATTCACAACGTCCATCCAACTAAACAAAAACTACCGCCGAAAACGCCACACATCAATAAATGGTAAACAAAACAGTGCAAAATGACTTATGGTTGAATTTAATGTACACAATCAAGATGACTTATAGTTGAATTTAATGTACACAAATCAAGATGAATTATGGTTGAATGTAATATACACAAATCAAGATGACTTATGGTTGAATTTAATATATACAAATCAAGATGACTTATGGCTGAATTTAATGTACACAAATCACGACAAATTGTGGTTGAATTTAATGTACAAAAACCAAGATGAACTATGGTTGAATTTAATGTACACAATCAAGATGACTTATAGTTGAATTTAATGTACACAAATCAAGATGAATTATGGTTGAATTTAATATATACAAATCAAGAGGACTTATGGCTGAATTTAATGTACACAAATCACGACAAATTGTGGTTGAATATAATGTACAAAAACCAAGATGAATTATGGTTGAATTTAATGTCCACAAATCAAGATGAAATATGGTTGAATTTAATGTACACATATCAAGACGAATTATGGTTGAATTTAATGTACACAAACAAGATGAAACATGGTTGAATTTAATGTACACAAATCAAGACGAATTGTGGTTGAAGTTAATGTACACAAATCAAGACGAATTGTGATTGAAATTAATGTACACAAATCAAGACGATTTATGGTTGAATTTAATGTACACAAATAAAGATGAGTAATGGTTGAATTTGATGTACACAAATCAAGATGAATAATGGTTGAATTTGATGTACACAAATAAAGATGAGTAATGGTTGAATTTAATGTACACAAATCAAGATGAGTAATGGTTGAATTTAATGTACACAAATCAAGATGAGTAATGGTTGAATTTAATGTACACAAATCAAGATGAGTAATTGTTGAATTTTATGTACACAAATCCCCACTGACCTCGGTGGTTTTCAATTTTATTTTTTTTTATTTTTTACGAAAAAAATTTAAATATATTTTTTGGTCCACTTATCAAATGATGCCATGTGTTTCTCTTTGCTAATGGATTACCGCGATAAGGGAAACACAATATAATACTTTGTTGTTTCAGTTACTAGTATGGCAACGAGTGGGCGGGGGGGTGATCTTTTCAATGTAGAGATCAATTTTAAAAAAAGCAATATGTTTCGTTTGTTTTTCAGAAAGAAAAAAAAGTAATATCAATGGCGATAAATGAGGTCAAATGCGTTTTAACACACACAACGTCAATGCTAAATTAGGACAAATAAATTTGAACACACAAAACGACACTATTCAATAAGGTCACGTGCACGTGAACACTCGAAACGCCAATGTTTAATTAGGTCACAGGCATGTCAACAAACAAAATGCCAGTGTTTAATTAGGTCACAGGCATGTCAACACTCCCAACGCCAATGTTTAATGAGGTCACAGGCATGTCAACACTCCCAACGCCAATGTTTAATGAGGTCACAGGCATGTCAACACACATAACGTCATTATTTAATGAGGTCACAGGCATGTCAACACTCCCAACGCCAATGTTTAATGAGGTCACAGGCGTGCCAACACTCCCAACGCCAATGTTTAATGGGGTCACAGGCATGTCAACACACATAACGTCATTATTTAATGAGGTCACAGGCATGCCAACACTCCCAACGCCAATGTTTAATGAGGTCACAGGCATGCCAACACTCCCAACGCCAATGTTTAATGAGGTCACAGGCATGTCAACACTCCCAACGCCAATGTTTAATGCGGTCACAGGCATGTCAACACTCCCAACGCCAATGTTTAATGGGGTCACAGGCATGTCAACACACATAACGTTATTATTTAATGAGGTCACAGGCATGCCAACACTCCCAACGCCAATGTTTAATGAGGTCACAGGCATGTCAACACACATGACGTCATTATTTAAACTCCTAAATGCCCCTAGGGAAGCTGCCAGGCGGACTTTAAAAAAAAAAAAAAAAAAAAAAAGAAATTTCACTGATTAGAATTGATCAGTTATTGCAAATGTTAGAGGCTGAGATTCAAAAACTAACTTTTTGTTTCACTCTTATCACACGTTGGCACAGTCGTAAACAAGGACACAGGCGAGTGATGCATTTTTAATTAAAACACATTTATATTTTTTTACAGTACTTTTTTGTTTTTTTCAAAGCAAGGGGCTAATAACAAATTTTTTTTAAAGGCTTTTTAATCGCTGGTAAAATCTAACTTTTATAACTGGTTAGGCATTTCAGAAATATGCAAATGTACTGCTTTTTTTGTGTTAAAGGTCTATTTGTTTAAATGTATATATGTTTTTGGAATTATCAAAGTTTTCTCATAGGGCTTATAAAGTTAGAGATGAATCTATGGTGTCTTGACAGACATAACGTTTCTCTCGACGTTCAAAGGAATACATCGACTAACGCAGATGTGGTCGGCGAATAGATTGGTCAACAGAGCCAAAAATCAGCAGCAGGACGATTAACAAAAATTTGAGAGCCAAATTTCTTTTCAAGAGTGCTGTCAAGAACCATGTTTTTCGTAGTCAAAAATAATTTGTTCTTGGCTGACCGAGGCGCACTCATCGATTGATGATTTCATTTATATCAAAAACCTTAATGAAGTTTCTCTTCTCCAGCGACCGCATATGTGAAGCTTAGTACGTGGGTTTGAAGGTGTACCCGGCCGGAATTTTACGTATCTTCGTGTATATAAGTACTTTAAACATCACTGCCTCGCGGGGTATTACTATGCTCGTATCGCTATTACCATGTACGTATCGCTATTACCATGCTCGTATCACTATTTCCAGGCTTGTATCGCTATTACCATGCTCGTATCGCTATTTCCAGGCTCGTATCGCTATTACCATTGTCGTATCGCTCTTACCAATGCTCGTATCGCTATTACCATGCTCGAATCGCTATTTCCAGGCTCGTATCGCTATTACCATTGTCGTATCGCTCTTACCAATGCTCGTATCGCTATTACCATGCTCGTATCAATAATACAACAGTTTTAAAAAAAAATAGATTTAATCATTTGAAGAACATTGACATTTGAATACTTAAATATTTTAACTAGTGACACAAAGGGACATTCAACTTGATGGGTCAAGAAAAGTACTGGCATACCTTCTAGAGCAAGTATGTGAAGATTTTTAGTCTTCATTTCTTGGCAGTTTTTGCACCTTTATAACGGGAATCGCTTAGGGTTGTCAGCATATGTCTGGTCAAGTTTGACCCTTTCTGACAGAGCATTTAAGTACTCAGGCAAACAAAGGGCTTGGATATGACGCATCCTATCTATCTAAGAAAAGCGTGCGGGGAATCCATCAATCTGATTGCATTCAGCACACTGGATCACACTATATGTGAAGCAAAGAAGTTCATTATTCTGTTTCATTGGATTTTACTGCAAATATATCTAATGTTGACCATGCTGGCTTTGATTCTGTGCCACGTTTCATCACCTGGGCCATGTGAACGATTTTTTACTTTTTGTTTCGATATGGAAGGTTAAAGTTTTGAACAGCTTACTCAAAGTCTACTTACTTTTTCAACGGCAAAGCACATTGCTATTAAAAAGTGTCATGGTCAAAGCTATGACAGCGCAAGTGGCATGGGTGGAAATTTTAGAGGATTACAAGTACGAATTAAAGAGATGAATCAGTCTGCGCATTGCATTTCGTGTTTTGCGATTTCACTAACTATAGTTGGAAAATGTGCTGCTGAAGGTTGCGAAGACGCAGTAATTTTCTTTAGATTTGTTGAAAGCCTGTTAACCTTCGTTTCTTCTTCTCCTTCCTGTTGCATGTTGTGCAGGCGGTATTCATAATAAGTTACACCTTTTGTGAAAAGATTTCAGATACCGGGTGATCCGCTGGGGGCAGATGCAACAAAAGAAAAGCACTTTCACACAGTTTTTCTGCAATAAAAAAAGTTTTGGATAATATTTAAGATAACGATGATTAGAAGGCAGAGTGTAGTCAACAATGTTCATCAGAAGGCAGATTGTCGTCAATAATGCTCAGAAGGCAGATTGTCGTCAACAATGATCATAAGGCAGATTGTCGTCAACAATGATCAGAAGGCAGATTGTCGTCAACAATGATCAGAAGTCAAATTGTCGTCAACAATGATCAGAAGGCAGATTGTCGTCAACAATGATCAGAAGGCAGATTGTCGTCAACAATGATCAGAAGGCAGATTGTCGTCAACAATGATCAGAAGTCAAATTGTCGTCAACAATGATCAGAAGGCAAATTGTCGTCAACAATGATCAGAAGGCAAATTGTCGTCAACAATGATCAGAAGGCAGATTGTCGTCAACAATGATCAGAAGGCAGATTGTCGTCAACGGGCTCGTGGTCTACTCTGAACCATAACGAACTTGGGAAAAGGGAATACTAATCATACCGTGTGTTGAAGTATTACAGCGTTTTCAATTGGCTGGTGCCTTTTAGCGATCTTCTGGCCAAGATTTGAATACAGGACATCGTGCAAAAGGTCAAAAGCCAAGGATCTGGTTGAGGGTGATTTTTATCAAGAAAAGCTGGAAGAAAACACAAAAGAAACAACAGCATCATGTCTTCAGTGGCTCCATAAAACTTGATCAGAGCATTATGACCTCAGTGGTTCCATCACAGTTGATCAAGAGCATCATAACTTCAGTGGTTCCAGTAAACTTGATCAAGAGTATCATGACTTCAGTGGTTCCAGCACACTTGATAAAGAGTGTCATGACTTCAGTGGTTCCAGCACACTTGATCCACTAGTTGCATCTCAAACGGCTTCTCTTCAGTTTAAAAGACGAACATTTCGAGGACTGGGGCTCCGTCACCCAGACAAGCGAAAACGTCACCAGCAAGCACCCCGGGTGGATGCGACTCGTTACCTTGGATGGCAACTTATTTAACAGAATTAAGGAAAAATCTGAAATCAAAAATCCGGAGACAAAGGCGATATAACATTGAACCAATGAAAATTGCAGCAACTCCTAGGACGCAGTCGTCTTGACTAAGTCTTGTCATTTGATCAAATAGCGCAATATTTGAGACAGTAAGGCTGGCGAATTAAAGCAAATCCCCCTTGCTTTAAACAAAATAGATCTCATGTCAAGGCCACTACTCAACTCGAAATTGTCTTGGCCGTCTTTGCTTGCCAAGGATAAACAACAACGACCCAGGAATCCTTGTAGTGTTCTAATTTTACCGTTTGAGTAATTGACATTTCTTTGGAGTCTTGTCCGAATGTAGACATCGACCTGCGCATCTATTTGTCCATAATAGTAACCATGGTAACTCACCGCCAGAGGCGTAGCGAGGGTGTTTGGCGCCCGGGGGACAAGATTCGCGCCTGGGGGACAAGATTCATTTTAAAGCGCCCCCTTTTTCTTTTTTTCAACTCTCAAACCCATTTATTTTTACCAATAATATAATATCAAAGCACATTGTGGCGCCCCTAACTAGCTGGGGCCCGGGTACATCTGTCCCCCCCCCCTAACTACGCCTCTGCCCACCGCCGTGGAGAACGATTATTTACGAAACTGAAATTTATTAAAACATGAACTAAGGATCCCCGTGGGTCAAAAGAGATTGAAAAATCTCGCACTAATGCGAATTGTACATTCATTCTACGTAAAATGGACACATCCTCTATTATCATGCATATGAAAAATGTAATTTAAAAAATATATATATATTTAAACAACATTGTTAATTGCGTTGTTCTATTAAATTAAAAAAAAAAATATATATATGTTTGTTTTATTGAGTTTTTACAAAAATAAAGTGTCCATTTATTAACGTATGCTCCAGGCCCGGCACTGGCCTAATCCGGCCCTGATAGTACACATTAGAAACAGAGATAATGATGTACACTTAAGCTAATTATTATACGTGTGGGCGAAGGCAGTGCTTTCCACCCTGAGATCACGGACCCAAAATTATCATTATAACAATGAGCAAATGCAGTGCGCCCCGAAACTGTGGTTGCGGATCCCAAGCTATCATTATAACAGTGAGCACAGGCAGTGCTTCCCAAACCTGTTGTTACGGACCCCCAAGGCCCAACAAAGTTTTAAAGAAATAAAGTTCGTTAAAATAGACTTTGTTACAGTGTTATCTGAATATTTTAACTTCTGTTATTTCTTTATTAAAACGAAATGACCAAACATGATGCTAGAAGTGTGTCTTAAGCTCGTAGCCGTCACTCCGCATGACGTGGTGATTAATACTTAGCACAGTGCCGTCGCTAGGCTTAGTGCCCACCTGAGGGCGGGCCAATATTTTACCCAATATATGAAGAAGAAAAAATGCCCCCCCTCCTCCAACCCAACCCTACCTACGCCACTGATTTGACCCCACGCACTCAGAACCATAAATTAATCACCAAGACTTATCATTTTGACAACCACTGACTGGTCAGGCTTTCTGTTTTGTTTCTTTCTTCTAAGTTAAAAGTTCACATCTCAAGGTTTCCACAGATTACGTCAGCAGCCCACTCTACTTTATTAAATATTAATTTTCTTTTCAACTTGTTGCTGTATCGAGATTTAGTGAGCAGACCGTTGTTGACAGAGCCCAGAACAAATATATTCCGTGCACGGGCACCGATCAACTTGTCAGTCATGCATGCGGTTATTAAATCAGTTACCAAACCCCCCCCCAGTTTTGAGAAAAAGGAACCAATTTCATTCTTTTTCCTTTTGACGTTTCATAAAAAATTGAAAACTTGTCAATACAGTCAAACGTGATGCACACGAAGACGGTTATACTTTTCACTACATTCTTTTCACCACATTGTACTTTGAATTAATTAAAGTTGATCAAATATTTTATAGATCAGGTTTGCAGATACGTGCGCGACTGGTATGAAGTATAATTTGGGAACATTTGCACCTCGCTCTTCAGTCTTAAAGTGACCCTATTTAAGACATTGAACCAGATTTGATTCGATTTCTACGTGTATTTTGTGCCTGTTTTATAGTATGTTTTAACCACGATTGTATGAACACAATTTGTTTTAAAAGATATAGTTAATGTGTGGTCGCTACATCAGGTAGTACCGTACATGTTACTAATAATATCTATTGTGCCAGATATTTCTCTGTCTAAACAGTTGAAGTTAAATAAGTTTGATCAATGAATGGAACATTTACAACATTTATAAAAACTTAGATATTTGCGCTTCGTATTGTACAAAGGAGGAGACAAATACTCATTTTTAAAAAAAAATTAAAATTTTTATTTTAAAGTATATTTCAAATTGTTAATTTTACACGTTGTGGTATCATGAATAGAAGATGTTGTTGCATTTAAAAACATAAATCGACTGCTGTGCAAGGTCGAGCGGTGTAACTTAATTCATATTTCTATGGGATCTCTATGAAGTCAGCCAAAAAGAAAAAAAACAAGAGAGTTTGCTTCCTGTGTCAACGTCAGAATCATAACGCGGGCAGCTACACGCGTACAGCAACCCTGTCACCGGTCAACGTGTTGGATGCGTGTAGCGGAAGGTCATTTCTAAATAAGTCCGAATCAACCTAGAATGACGTCACCAAAACTTATCGCCCTGTGGATAACTCGAAGGGTTGGCTGGAAGACGGTGTCCGGGCTCCTCTGTGTCGCCGTCATGACGGTTTTCGTGGTGGACAACACACAGACTGTCCACCAAAAGATTCAACGATCGGCGTTCTTTGAGGCTTACATGAGGGTAAATGATAAACAAGGGATGCCATAAGATGACGGTACACAACAGTGCTACCCTGACACTGGGACGTGCATAACATTGCTACCCTGACACTAAGATGTGCATAACGGTGCTACCCCCGACACTGAAACGTGCACAATAGTGCTACTCCGACACTGTGACGTACACAACAGTGCTACCCTGACACTGAGTCGTGCACAACAGTGCTACCCCGACACTGAGACGTGCACAACAGTGCTACCCCCGACACTGAAACGTGCATAACAGTGCTACCCCCGACACTGAGACGTGCACAACAGTGCTACCCCGACACTGAGACACACACAAAAGAGCTACTCTGACGCAGAGACCATATACCTGCCTTTATGATATGATGTATCTTACCTTTTTTTCAGAAATAATACTCAGACTGTATAACGTCAGAGTCCATGTGTCTGGCTCCAAATATTTGGCTCCATTCGCATGGCCTTAAAATAAAACCTGCAGCTTTAGTTGTGTAGTACACAAAGTTTTAAACTAAAAAAACCACCAAAAACACTCGCTACCAGCTCTAAGGGACTCAGTTATTTTTCATTGTGAATTTGGGCCTTGCTCCGCAAATGATGAGGCGTGAAGCCGAGTCAAACCAGTGAGAAGCTTGTCTTTGACCAACTCTTTCAACATAACTCACATAGAGGAGTGGTCCGCCACAGTGAGAAGCTTGTCTTTGACCAACTCTTTCAACATAACTCACATAGAGGAGTGGTTCACCACAGTGAGAAGCTTGTCTTTGACCAACTCTTTAAACATAACTCACATAGAGGAGTGGTTCACCACAGTGAGAAGCTTGTCTTTGACCAACTCTTTCAACATAACTCACATAGAGGAGTGGTTCACCACAGTGAGAAGCTTGTCTTTGACCAACTCTTTCAACATAACTCACATAGAGGAGTGGTTCACCACAGTGAGAAGCTTATCTTTGACCAACTATTTAAACATAACTCACATAGAGGAGTGGTTCGCCACAGTGAGAAGCTTGTCTTTGACCAACTCTTTCAACATAACTCACATAGAGGAGTGGTTCACCACAGTGAGAAGCTTATCTTTGACCAACTATTTAAACATAACTCACATAGAGTAGTGGTTCGCCACTGGCTGCAGTCAGGGCTATCTATCATCAGTCAACTAAATGCGTCTTTTTAAAAAATAGTTTATATTAACTCCGCTTTAAGTGTGTTTAGGTTTTTTAAAAAAATCCTCGGACGGCTAACTGACCCACTTCCCGTATGTCTATCGAGCTGAAACCTGGCTCATAGACTCGTTGCCCACGGCAACGCATTCTATCAAATTTTCAGCTCCACTCCCCAGCCCTCAAACATCAGTTTCTCAGGGGGAAATATGAAGGACATGGGATGACACTGATTGAACGAAATAAACTTCTCGATAACTTTGCGAAATGAGTCTTTAACAAACAAACGTTGCAAGTGCGTTTAGTGTGAAATAGTTTCGTTTGTTTTTGTAACATAGTTGGTGAGATAAATCTGCGGTGTAAAAGTGGGTGGGACATGAATATATTCATATAAAATAACAATGCAGATTGATACGGTGAACTTTGTTTTAAAGGGCTGTTTAATTTCCACCGCACTGCGGGCCTACCAGAAAAGTTGTACAGAAATTTCACGGCTTGAAGTCGGATCTGTCATTATTCTTAAATGCTCATTGAGAAAAACACCCATTCCCTACAGTTGCTGGCACAGCAGAGCAGTCCGAAAGGTTGCAGAGCCAATCACAGCTTCCGGGAAGCCGATATGCTGCTGCAGCTGTACAACAACATATCGCTCGGGCGGGTCAAGAGGATCTCGATTCCAGAGCTCTATCATCTCGGCGACGCCCAGAACTACACACAATTCCTGAACACGTTAATCAGCAAAAGAAAACGAGGACCTCTCCTCCAAGGATATCTCAATAACACGGGGTGAGTGACGACAGCTGATTTACGCATGGCATTTCGAAACGCTTAATTTGATGTCACTATTTATTGTGATTTAGTTTGCTCGATATTACATTTTGTAAAGGATTTACGGCTGGAAAAAACTTTGTTTTTTTAGGGGTCGCATTAGTTCAAAATGTGTTCTTGTTGTCGACAGGAACGCATATTTTGCCCCAAATACAAACAAATTAAATTATGTTTTGTAAACAAAGACAGACGCTCTAAAGATTTTTATTTGAACGTCTTCACAGGGGTTCCACGTGGGACAGGTTCTACAAAAGCATCAGCCAGTATCACCTGTACCACCCTTATGAGAACAACGTTATCAACGATTTATTGAAGGACGTTAGCACTAGGCCAATTGTTTCTTCAGGTCGGTAGCGCTCGATAAAATTCAACCAGATTTTTTAAACTCTTTTAAAAAAAATTTTTTATGCAGGTACAACATTCAGAGGGCTGAACTGAATCCCCAACCTGGGCCTTGTGCCCCCCCCCCGCACCCTGGGACTTGCGTCGACACACTGGGCCTGGTGTCCCCACCCTGGGCCTGAGTAAAATTATAGCAACAAGCAGTATTGGTTGATCAGAGATACGTCAATAACCTAAAGCTTACTTTCTCCGGTTCCTTTTTTCTTCTCCTAACACCCAACGATACAATGAATCCCCCCCCCCCAAAACTTGAGAGCCGTTACAGGCATGCGACTAAAAAGCGTGGGACGCCCATGAAGTACAATGATGTCATATTACTTTTGTGTGGGTTGCTCTGTCCTTTTGTTGGTCTGTGAGCGGTCAATCCTTACCTCTCTATGTCGACTCACTTCCTCATCTCCCACTGAGCTGAAACAAGAACATTGGATTCGTGGGCGCCAGCGCGCCCAACAATTATATATATATGTGTGTGTGTATTTATATTTACTGAAGAAGTAAGTTTACAAACATATAGCCCATTCAATTATCTTACATTAGATACCTCATTTTGTCTCATAAACCCAAAAGTAATATTTTAAATATTTTTTTTTAATGCAATTCTCTCACTTCTGGTACTCGGGTGCGAATAGCCACTTCGTTAAAATAAATCTAGGGCGAACGTCTGGTGAGAAACGCAGTGTGAACGTTTTTAAATTCTCATTGTATCATCTTTGATCATCATTGATAATCTTTTATCCTCTTTGATCAGCTTTCAAGGGAGGTGGCAGCCAGTTTAAGATGCTGCTGACATTTGATAATGGAGCTCGTGGCCTTTTCAAACCAATGAGGTGGGTGTGGACTCATAATACTTATGAGACTTGGTCTCAGCGTGAAAATTAAGAGCATAGTTCTCAGCATGTGACCATGTATATGGAAGGTAACTCTTCCTTGTATTGTACATCGACCATTAAGCAAGGCTTAATGTTCCTGCAAATAATTTTGTGTGTGGATGTGTGTCAGTCCATGTTAAAAATGTGTCTGTTTGTCTGATAAGATTCATAGCTATGCATCTTGCTGTGACAAGATAAGATTCATATCTATACATGTTTCTGTGACAAGATAAGATTCATTTCTATGCATGTTTCTGTGATAAGATAAGATTCATATCTATGCATATTTCTGTGACAAGATAAGATTCATATCTATACATGTTTCTGTGACAAGATAAGATTCATTTCTATGCATGTTTCTGTGATAAGATAAGATTCATATCTATGCATATTTCTGTGACAAGATAAGATTCATATATATGCATGTTTCCGTGACAAGATAAGATTCATAGCTATGCATCTTGCTGTGACAAGATAAGATTCATATCTATACATGTTTCTGTGACAAGATAAGATTCATATCTATACATGTTTCTGTGACAAGATAAGATTCATTTCTATGCATGTTTCTGTGATAAGATAAGATTCATATCTATGCATATTTCTGTGACAAGATAAGATTCATATCTATGCATGTTTCTGTGACAAGATACGATTCATATCTATGCATGTTTCTGTGACAAGATAAGATTCATATCTATGGATGTTTCTGTGACAAGATAAGATTCATATCTATGGATGTTTCTGTGACAAGATAAGATTCATATCCATGCATGTTTCTGTGACAAGATACGATTCATATCTATGCATGTTTCTGTGACAAGATAAGATTCATATCTATGAATGTTTCTGTGACAAGATAAGATTCATATCTATGGATGTTTCTGTGACAAGATAAGATTCATATCTATGGATGTTTCTGTGACAAGATAAGATTCATATCCATGCATGTTTCTGTGACAAGATACGATTCATATCTATGAATGTTTCTGTGACAAGATAAGATTTATATCTATGGATGTTTCTGTGACAAGATAAGATTCATATCTATGCATGTTTCTGTGACAAGATAAGATTCATATCTATGCATGTTTCTGTGACAAGATAAGATTCATATCTATGCATGTTTCTGTGACAAGATAAGATTCATATCTATGCATATTTCGGTGACAAGATAAGATTCATATCGATGCGTGTTTCTGTTACAAGTTTCATATCTATGCATCTTTCTGCGTTCCGGCTCATTATCACTTATATATATTTTGCTTGTGGTGTGACTGCTTCACAAAATGCTATCGTCAATGTTTGGCGAGCTATAACTAGTTATGAATGTTCCTTTGTCCAGGTTCTATATTCTGAATGTTTCTTTGTCTAGGTTCTATTAATGAACGTTTCTTTGTCGAAGTTCTATATTCTGAATGTTTCTTTGTCCAGGTTCTATATCATGAATGTTTCTTTGTACAGGTTCTATATTATCAATATTTCTTTGTCCAGGTTCTAAATCATGAATGTTTCGTTGTCCGCGTTCTATATCATGAATGTTTCTTTGTCCAGGTTCTATATCATCAATGTTTCTTTGTCAAGGTTCTATATCATCAATGTTTCTTTGTCCAGGTTCTAAATCATGAATGTTTCGTTGTCCGCGTTCTATATCATGAATGTTTCTTTGTCCAGGTTCTATATCATCAATGTTTCTTTGTCCAGGTTCTATATCATCAATGTTTCTTTGTCCAGGTTCTAAATCATGAATGTTTCGTTGTCCGCGTTCTATATCATGAATGTTTCTTTGTCCAGGTTCTATATCATCAATGTTTCTTTGTCAAGGTTCTATATCATGAATGTTTCTTTGTCCAGGATCTATATTCTGAATATTTCTTTGTCCAGGTTCTATATTCTGAATATTTCTTTGTCCAGGTACCCGAGGGGAGTGGACACCTTCCTGAACTACTTTTACTTCGATGACTTTGAGCGTCACACAGCTGAGATAGCAGGCTATCATCTGGACAAGTGCGTAACTGTCGCCAGATTTAGACATAAGCAATTCACAGAATAATGTTAAACCAACAATCTAATTTATTCTTTTTGCTAACATTATATTCACCAAATGGCTTGTGAATAATTTACATTGAAGTACACTCAACCCAGTTTAATAGCAAGTGGGGAAAATAAAAAGTGGTGGGGAATGATTTGGGGGCTAATAGCAGGGATTGTTATCTTGAATTGTAAAAAAAAAAAAAAACAAGAAAAAAAATTGTCCTATTTTTTGTATGATTGTAATAGGGTACACTGTGATCGTGCCTGCAGAATTTAAACTGTCCCTATTATTATTAGGTCTAATTATATCTTAACCAGTTGTTTACCAAAATGAGATGAGTCTGTGCCTGTATTGTCACCGTAGGCTCCCGCGGTGGAAAGTTAAACTGGCTCAATCATTGTAGAGTCACCTGTTCATTTTTTTATATACATTTCTTTTTACAGATTGTTGGAATGGTGTATAATTGCCTACGATACTAACCAACTTTCTGCTTTACACAAAAATGTTAAATGTTATCAGAGACATTTTTAAGATTCCAGATTCCTTTGGTTACACGTGTATGACATTTTCTGTCATAGATTCGAATGTTTAAAAAAAAAATTAAACAAACCAAAGAAGATATACTCTTATAAAGCTCTTGTTGGTCAATGTCTAATAGTTGTGTGTTGTGATAATATGTGTAGTTTTTTCAATGTATAGGATTGTTAAAACTTGTTTAAAGTTACCACCAAGCAAGGAGAAGTTTAGCGTTAATGGCGTAAAAAAAAAGGGGGGGGGGCGGTACAATATTCTTTAAAATAGTAAAACAAAGAGGAATACAATAATTTGAAGACAAAGCAGTTAAGTTTATGCTTTCTTAAGAGCTTCTCTCTCTCTCTCTCTCTCTATCTTTAATATTGCTTTCTCTCTGTTCATCTCTCTCTCTCTCTCTCTCTCTCTCTCTCTCTCTCTCTCTCTCTCTCTCTATCTATCTTTAATATTGCTTTCTCTCTGTTCATCTCTCTCTCTCTCTCTCGAACTATTGAACCTTCTCTCTCACCCCTACCTCTTGCTCCCTCCAACTCTCGCTCTCTTTATCTATCTCCCTCTCTCCCCCCTCTCGCTCTCCCTCTCTCTCTCCCTCCCTCTCTCTCTCTCTCTCTCTCTCGCTCTCTCCGTCTCTCCCTCTCCCTCTCTCTCTCCCTCTTCTCCCTCTCTCCCTTTCTCCCTATCTCCCTCTCTCCCTCTCTCCCTCTTCCCCATTTCAAATTTTGCATTTTGTTATAGTTTTAAAATAAATAAATTAAGCTTTGATTTTTTTCAAGGGTTCTAGGGTTTCACAGGGCTCCCCCTACCGTTGGCAGGGTAGTGAACATGACCTTGGATGTGCTCATGCATGGCACCTCTGAGGTGAAAAATAAAACGTATGTCTCGCCAGGTAAGTTAATCTTTTTTAGACCAAAAAAAAATTATAGGTCAATATCACATGCAGGGCGGAATCAACACATGCGCGTTAAGCAAATTCATTCATGTTTATTAAAATGATCACACGACGGGACGTTCAACGTTCACCTTAACGTCTTAAAGACACATTTTAATTTATTTAGCTATAAGAAATTGTTGTGAATCTAATGATACGAAATTATAAATCGGATATTTTAAGTATTTAAAAAAAAAAAAAGCTTTAAGAAAAACAATGATGCCACTGAAGCAGTGGATGCAATGCGAGTCAATCTATTCAGACACTACAGAAGTTACCGTAACCCCAGCAGAAAGACGTGCATGTATTTTATCGTAGTTCAACACAACTCATTGAATGCATGGGCTCTACAACTGTCTAATCCGAGACGAGAGCCTTTGTGCTTTGTGTGCAATGATTGCCGCATGCTGCACTGTGGTGGTACCTTCAGAAGTTAAATATACCCTATTATTAATAGTATCTTAGTCTGTTATTTACCAAATGGTTGGGGGGGGGGGGGGTTATATCACCTTAACAAACTGGCTCTATCACCACGACAAACTGGCCCTATCACCATGACAAACTGGCTCTGTCACCATAACAAGCTGGCGCTATCAGTAATATCACCACAACAAACTGGCTCTATCACCATAATAAACTGGCTCTATCACCATAACAAACTGGCTTTATCACCACAACAAACTTGCTCTATCACCACAACAAACTGGCTCTATCGCCATGACAAACTGGCTCTATCACCATGACAAACTGGCTCTATCACCATGACAAACTGGCTCTATCACCATGACAAACTGGCTCTATCACCATGAAAAAATGGCTCTATCACCACAACAAACTGGCTCTATCACCATGACAAACTGGCTCTATCACCACAACAAACTGGCTCTATCACCACATCGTAAACCTGTCATTTCCCCAGATGGGAACCTTTGTGTGCACAATCACTGCAGGCTTCACTGTGATCACATCTGTGGAAGTCCCGAACTTTTAGAAGGTTCGGTGTCTGTCTTCTTGCCCAACGAAACACTCAGTCCAAGATCTCTAAACACTCGCCATCCTTACAGTCCAATATGGAGGAGAACGATCAAGGTATCGACCGACTCGCCAGAATTGTGTATTATCACTTTAGCAGTCTATAGACCTTTGAACTTTGTTGTTGTTGTAATTGTTGCCATTAATGACATGCTATAGCATTTTTATTTGTTAATGGCTCATACGTATTTTCTAAAGATTCTTGTCCTACAATGGTTAGGTTCAACATTCGACATAACGTGGTCAATATATTTGTTGTGTGTTAAATCTAAATAATTCAGCCCTGTTGAGATATTTAATCACAATACTACAGTTTAATACAACAGTTTTGTACTACAGTTTTGCATTGCTTTGTCCACTTTAGGCCGAATGGGAAAGTGACCCCACCTACTGTGAGCGTCGTCTCAAAAATAACAAAAATAACACTGAATACACAAGTGGGCGACTGCTGCTGGATATTATCGACATGGCCATTCTCGATTTTTTTACAGGTCAGGATTTAACTACCGGGGAGTTAAGAGAGGCGTCAGAGGGTTAGGGGGCTGATGGGGACGGACTTTAGTTTACAAGGGATCATCGGCAGAAAATGGTATCATCGTTAGCTACGAATAATGCCGGATTAAATGCCCCGGGGACCCCCGAATTTCCCAACACTGATACGAAATACGACACTTAAAATAGGGCATGAACTATTATACAATTCCTCAGGATAAGTCTCTCGATTTTTTTTTGTGACAGCCACTTTAATTGCGATATATATATCATTGTTTGGAACTCAACGAGAAACCCACAAAACAGATGATGAAATTATATGCGTCCACATTGCACGAAGGTCAAGTTATGCGCAGTAATTTACTCTTCCTCAGAGAACAAGCACTTTCATGCAAGCTCTTCCATAACACAGGCTCTTCCAAAACATAAGCTCTTCCAAAACACAAACTCTTCCAAAACACAAGCTCTTTCAAAACACAAACTCTTCCAAAACACAAGCTCTTTCAAAACTCAAACTCTTCCAAAACACAAACTCTTTCAAAACACAAGCTCTTCCAAAACACAAGCTCTTTCAAAACACAAACTCTTTCAAAACACAAACTCTTCCAAAACACAAACTCTTCCAAAACACAAGCTCTTCCAAAACACAAACTCTTTCAAAACACAAACTCTTTCAAAACACAAACTCTTTCAAAACACAAACTCTTTCAAAACACAAACTCTTCCAAAGCACAAGCTCTTCCAAAACACAAACTCTTCCAAAACACAAGCTCTTCCAAAACACAAACTCTTCCAAAACACAAGCTCTTCCAAAACACAAGCTCTTCCAAAACACAAGCTCTTTCAAAACACAAACTCTTCCAAAACACAAACTCTTTCAAAACACAAACTCTTCCAAAACACAAACTCTTCCAAAACACAAGCTCTTCCAAAACACAAGCTCTTCCAAAACACAAGCTCTTTCAAAACACAAACTCTTCCAAAACACAAACTCTTCCAAAACACAAGCTCCGATTTACGGATTTGTCCAACAGATGCGACACGCCTGTAAACTGTCTGCCGAGCTATGAAAGTGCAAAAACTCGGTCCCATAAACAGAATGAGATATCTCAGTATGCCAGTCAACTAGTTTACTATGATTTTTAATTACATATCAAATATTTAAAAAAAATGCACAGTCTTTATACCGACAAACACGCATGGACATTGTATTTATTTAGGTAACATGGAAAGACATTGTATTTATTTAGGTAACATGGAAAGACATTGTATTTATTTAGGTAACATGGAAAGACATTGTATTTATTTAGGTAACATGGAAAGACATTGTATTTATTTAGGTAACATGGAAAGACATTGTATTTATTTAGGTAACATGGACATACATTGTATTTATTTAGGTAACATGGAAAGACATTGTATTTATTTAGGTAACATGGACAGACATTGTATTTATTTAGGTAACATGGAAAGACATTGTATTTATTTAGGTAACATGGAAAGACATTGTATTTATTTAGGTAACATGGAAAGACATTGTATTTATTTAGGTAACATGGAAAGACATTGTATTTATTTAGGTAACATGGACATACATTGTATTTATTTAGGTAACATGGAAAGACATTGTATTTATTTAGGTAACATGGACATACATTGTATTTATTTAGGTAACATGGAAAGACATTGTATTTATTTAGGTAACATGGAAAGACATTGTATTTATTTAGGTAACATGAAAAGACATTGTATTTATTTAGGTAACATGGACATACATTGTATTTATTTAGGTAACATGGAAAGACATTGTATTTATTTAGGTAACATGGACAGACATTTCTATGAGAGGTTCACAGAGTTCGGAGCTGATACCTTTCTTATACACTACGACAACGGCAAAGGGTACGTACTGCAACCATCTCGAACAATTTACAACGACCAAAGTTGTAAAATGATATTCATGGTCCGGTCTTTGTCCGAAAACTAACACCAGCAAAATAACTTAGAGAAATGACCATAACGTGTACGGTAGATATGTCGAAGAATGTGGTCAGTTTTGGAGTGTACCGTGTTTTGAAAAATAAAGCTTCTCTCTGGTCTTCCTGAAGAGAACGTACGCATCGGTGACTTTCGTGGTTATACTGCAAGTAGATGTATCGATGTGATAGAAACAAGTAGAGTTGAGTCTGAAATGAGCTGATTAGCAAGAGTTAGCAAAATAAATATCATGATCACAATGTCCTTATGATAATTTAATTATGATAACGTCATTCTGACAATGTCGTTATGGTAGTGTCATTATAAAAATGTAACCTTGACAATGGAGTTAGTTGCAGCAAAGTCTTTATGACAATGCAATGATAACAATGTCATTATGAAAATGTCATTATGTCGATGCCATTTTAACAACGTCATTCCAACAATGTTGATCTTGGACAGGTTTGGCAGAGCCAAAGATGACTGCATGACGTGTCTGGCTCCGGTGCAACAATGCTGCATGATCCGATTGTCCACTTTGGCGAAACTCGTCAAACTGTATCAGGGACCGGACAGTCTCGGCCAGGTGCTCAGAGACTCAATGACCTCTGACCCCTTGTCGCCGATCCTTTTGGACCATCACCTGGACGCCCTGGATAGACGGGTTGGGATTGTGCTGAAGACCATCCACAGGTGCATCAAGGGGAAAACTTCATGGAGCTCTGTAGTTATAGACGATGGTTATATGTAAATTATATCAACTCAAACGGGGCGCTGTAGTTAAATTATATAAAAAAAATATATTTATGTGTACATTTTAAAGAGCAATTCAAACGCATGTCTTTAGTTAGATACACTGTCTTGCCGCTAGTTTTTTGTATAGATGACAAATTTTTTAGTCTAAAAAAAATATTTTGTCTTGTCGATAATTTTTTTGTATTGATGACAAATTCATAAGTCTAAAAATTACATTTCAAATGAGAGATTTCGTTGAAGTTCAACTTCCTCAAATCATTCTGGAATATTTGGAATTCGATAATTGTGTCTCCTTGAAGAGAACATTAATAATATTGAAATTGAAAAAAAAGAAAACAATAAGTTCTTTCAATTAAACCTGTTACTGAGATGTAAGGTCACGTGCTGGAAGTCAGCAGTTTCATCGTCATAAAGTAGAAAAACAGATCCATAGAAATGATGGCATTGAGATGTACGCATGAAGGGCGCATCATGTACTACTTTAATTCCGAAAGCATGTGCCAGATGCACGGTGGGGGTGAAAAAAAAAATGGCTACTTACAATCAGGGGCATGCCCTTCCTAAAAATCCTGCACGAGACGAAGTACTGAAATAGTACATTCACTTTTTGGGATCTAGCTATTGCTCTTTAATGGCCCCGGCAAGTATGGGAGATGCCTGCCTCATCTGCTGGGCAGTCCCGTAAATCAGGCTCTCGACATGGTTGGCTGGGAGTACCTCAGTCACACCAGTCGCTAGCGCCGAACACACGGCTAGTAGGTGCTCGACTGTCTCCGGCGCCTGTCCACAATGGCTGCAGCTCGGGTCACGCAGTGAATGCAACCTATTCAGGTAGCTACGGGTAGGGCAATGATGTGTCCTCATCAGCGTGATGAGGCTCTGCTGGTGGAGTTTAAGACACCACCATTGAGGGTGGAGTTTAAGACACCACCATTGGTCACTCTTGTGGTTAGCTTTGGGCATGCTCCGGTAAAGTATACGGTCAGTGGTACCCTATTCCCATTCTGTAATCCATTCCCCATGAAAGAGGTTCTTGATCCAGGCCTTGGCCCCCAGTTTGGTCATTGGTTGGTTAGGTTGAGGCTGGGAAGAGCCTTGTCTCGCAAGATAGTCAGGTCTATCTTGTGGGGGGGGTGGGGGTTCCCCGTATATCCTGGAATCGATTGAAGGGTCACTTTGCCTCCTTGAACCTGTATGTCTCGTATGAGCTCCAAAATTGCGTTTGCCATACCCCCGTTTGGTCCTTGGTTGGTTAGGTTGGGGCTGGGAAGAGCCTTGTCCCGCAAGATAGTCAGGTCTATCTTGTGGGGGGGGGGGGGTTCCCCGTATATCCTGGAATCGATTGAAGGGTCACTTTGCCTCCTTGAACCTGTATGTCTCGTATGAGCTCCAAAATTGCGTTTGCCATGTTCGTGTCCAAAGAGCACCTCTTCGCAATTTCGAGAGCACACTATGAATCGGTAAACACTACAATGGATGGAAGTGTTTTGCGTCTGGTGCACTTGCTTCAGGTCCATTAATATAGCTTCGATTTCAGCTTCAGTTGCAATGCTATTCGTAACGCCCGGGCCTGAAATCTCCTCTGTTGGAGGTACCCCCTTTGGGTACTGTATGAGTGCGCCGTACCCTGCCCGCTTCTCACAGGCGAGATAGGAGCCATCCGTGAAGAATATTACCACGCCGTCTTTGTGTGACTCGATCGTCTCTAGTGCGGCTCCCTTTTGCTCATTTTGGGGGCTCGACTTGTTAACTGGTGTATTTCACAGGGTCAGACGTACATCAGGCGGTTCGCAGCCATCCTTGTCCTCTTTACCCAGGGGTCTTGTAAATGGAAGCAGGGTTCCGTCCTTTCCACTAGACGGTAACGCTCTGCGGTCGTTAGGATGGTCTTGTCCCTCTTGATGTTTAGTGGTTCTATGTCTGAGATGATTTCCAGATCAGCCAAGGGTGTAGTAAGCAATGCTCCGCATACAAATCTGATAACTAGATTTTGTATCCGGTCCAGCCCTCCAGAGTTTCCTTGGTGACGCTCTGCTTTAGTCAGACAGCGAGACAACTACAAAAGTTGCGCCCCTTACATTCATCTATTATTTAATGTTGGTAATTACGTACATGAATTCTGAAAGCATGTGCCAGATGTGCGATGGGGGAAAATGATTACTTACAATCAGTGGCATATCTTGACTTAGAATCCTGCCACCTGCCCTCGACCAACTATAAAAGTTGCGCCCCCTACATTAATCTATTATGTAATGTTGGTAAGTAAAATCCATAAAAATGTCATCCATGGTAGTCACTCCCTTAACCCCCCTCCCCAAGGTACCCCACTAACAGTGGTTAACTACAATAACATTGCTACCTACAATTTGTAACTACAATACAACGCCAGTTCTCCGACAGTTGTAAGAACAGGAGATTCCAACGTCGGAAACTTTCAGTGCTGGAAATCTATCATTTAGCCCAGTCATGACTTCTCGTCATTTCAAAATGTTACTGAAGGTAAAGGAGGGCTTTCTTGGCCCACGCTTCAGATCGATAACTGTCCGTAAAATAAAAAAAACGTATATTTATTTTTTGGACGAAATGTCAAAATATCGTTTAGCGATGAAAATGTGAACTGTAATGTGAATTTTTAGAACATAATTAAACTTTTTTTTTTTTTTTTTTTTTTTTTAAATTAGAAAAGGGATCATTTCTTTTTAAAATAGTTATTGAAATTTTAATTGCGTTCTTTAAAAAAAAAATTAATTGAAGCCAACGGTTATCAGATTTAATTTGAGTTTTAAATTAAATAAACCATAAAAACAAAGTTTTTCATAAAAATCCTTTATAAAATGTAATATNTGCCCCCCCCCCCCCTTCCCAGGCTCGCACCCGCACATTTTGTTCACACCCCTGAATTATATTAATACCGGTATTCTAATGACTCACCCACTTTTACACCGCAGTTTTATTTCACCAAATATTTCAGAAAAATAAAAGAGAATATTACGCACCAAACGCATTTAGTGTAATTCGGGAATTTTATTTCTTGAAATCAGTGTCATCATTGCATTCATCTTTCCCATGAAAAAGCTTAACTTACGGGGCGGGGGTGAAAATTTGATAGCATTTCTTGTCATCGCTAACGAGTCTATGTGCCAAGTGTCAGCTCGATAGGTTGACGTGAAGTGTGCCAATTAGCCGTTCGAAGATTTTGCCAGCCAGTCTGTCACGAAAAAAAGTGAAGTTAATATAAAGGATTTTAAAAATATATATATTTCTGTTAAAATTAATTATTGAGCTGTTTCTTGCGTGCATTTTCTATTTCAGTGAGGTCAAAGGGCAATCAGACCACATTTGAGCTTAACAGAGATAATTACAATAAGCAACGTGTGGATGTTAAGTAATTTTATTTGGTTTGCAAATCCAATCTATTTTAAGATTTGGCTCGTTAGATGAACAATCCACACCAAACAACTAAAAAACCAGCAAACAAAAGAAAAAGATACCTAGATTAGTGATATTAACAATATTCAATTTAATTTTACTATTAAGTTTATATAAAAATACAAAAATAAAAGCTATATTAACTTACAGCACGGCAAGTGAAAGAGTATAGTTCTAGAATTTTAATCCACACACAAACATACAAAGTGAAAAATCGAGTAAGTCTCCTGTAAGTCTGGTGATGTATCTCGTGTCTGGGAAATCTAGAAAATCTAGTAAAGCTACCTGCTTATTTATAGGGAAGGAGTTAGAACCATCCATAAAATAAATCTAGAAATTGCATCACCAGCGCTTATTCCATACCTTCCATTTAGCTCAAAGTAAAACGTAAACAACCTTTTCCCAATCAAGAAAGGGTTGGGTAGTGGTAGAGCGCTACACATTTAATTGCTTAAGACAATATCAAAGCAAAAAAGGGGGGGGGGGAAATTAGGTCAACGCAGGGCTATAACAGTCAACAATAACACTCTATATCAACTTTAACAAAAAAACAAAGTCAAAGCTGAACAAGAACACTATATAATAAAGCTGAACCTGGTTGACCAATGACACCGGAAAATGCCGGACCCGGAGAAAAACTGAAACGTGCCGGGTGTTTTAACTTCTTATTTTCTATTATGTAATAAACCAAAATGGTGAGAAATGAAAATTGCATATTTTGAACTCTTACAACTTTTTACACTATTTTGTGTACATCAGAGGCGTAGCGAGCGTGTGGGGCGCCCGGGGACAAGATTCGTGCCCGGGGACAAGATCCATTTTAAAGCGCCCCTTTTTCTTTTTTTTTTCAACTCTAAAACCCATTATTTTCATCAATAAAATAATATCAAAGCACATTTTGGCGCCCCTAACTAGCTGGCGCCCGGGGAAATCTGTCCACCCACTGCCACTCCCTTGCTACGCCTCTGTTGTACATTGGACCTGGATTAGAAAAATAATTATATAAAACTGACTAGCGATTGGTGCGAAACTAATGTGAGCTAAATGAAACTGCAAAGCTCTGAAAATGATAATGAACTTGCTGCGAATTTTGAGTATTTATTTTGCTTTCGAAATCTTTGGTTATGAGTGACCACAGCACTCTCTTTTTACAATTAATATCTAATTTCCAATGATGATTGGCGGAGGATAATGAGTAGCCAAAGTTTATGTGTGTGTGGGGGAGGAGGGATGGGGGATAATTGTTTCAAAGTTTTGTCATGAATTCAATAACAATAATAATAATTTTACAATTAATTAATAAGTAAATCACTCTGCTTAACTGATAGAAGGCTTGGGTGGTATTGCCATAATGATGATATTAATATTTGTTGAAATGATAAGCCTACCCTGGTATAAAAGAAAACTGATACCAACAAGCGACCATAAACATTAGCGCTTTATCCAAATTTTGATTTATGCTATGCTCATTGGTAAAGGAAGTGCTTCTCAGTCTGTGCGCAAGGGTGGTATGAAAAGCTTTCGAAATATCAGAGTTTTCTTGCGAATGTCAGGAATTTGAAAATTTGTGTGGGTGTGGGGGGGGGAGGGGGTAAAATGTGCGTTTTAGAAAGTAAATTTTCATTTACAATATAAATAATATTACAGTGATCGGTCTAGTATCTTATTGTTACTAGACTCTGAATACACTATACCAGCAGGGCTCTTGTACGAATGTCTGGATGAAATAGTCCCCGTCAT